AAAACAGAAACAAAGGAAACAATGAGACAAAGTAGGTTCTTCGAGAAAATCAACAAAACAGACAAACCTTTATACAAACCAAAAGGCAGAGAGAGAATATCTAAATTAGCAAAATTAGAAATGAAAAGTGGGACATGACAACAGACATAGAGGAAATTCAGAGAATTATCAGATCATATTTCAAAAACCTGTATTCCACAAAATTAGAAAACTTAAAGGAAATGGACAATTTTCTGGTTAAATATCACCAAAATTAAATCAATAACAGATAAGCAAATTAAATAGACCTATAGCTGCTAAAGAAATAGGAACAATCATCAAAAGTCTCAAAAAAAAAAAAAAAAGCCCAGGACCAGATGGTTTCAGCATAGAATTCTACAAGATTTCAAAGAAGAACTAATACCAATACTCTTCAAATTGCTCCACACAATAGAAACAGAAGGAACATTGCCAAATTCATTACAAAGCTACAATTAACCTGATACTGAAGCCACAGAAAGAAAGAATTACAGACCAATCTCATGAACATTGATGCAAAATTGCTCAATAAAATATTGGCAAATTGAGTCCAAGAACACATCAGAAAAATCATCCACCATGATCAAGTAGGCTTCATCCCAGAGATGCAGGGCTGGTTCAGCATATGAAAATCTGTCAATGTCATCCACCATATAAACAAACTGAAAAAACCCACATGGTTATCTCATTAGATGCTAAAAAACAAAAACAAAAAACCTTTGACAAAATACAACATCCTTTCATGATAAAAATCTTGGAGAAAGGCAGAAAGACATATATAATATGTACTCACTCATAAGTGGCTTTTAGACATAAACCAAAGAAAAAACAGCCTATAATTCACAATCCCAGAGAACTTAGACAACAATGAGGACCCTAAGAGAGACATGCATGGATCTAATCTACATGGGAAGTAGAAAAAGACAAGATTTCATGAGTAAATTGGGAGCATGAGGATCATGGAAAAGGATAGAAGGGGAAGGGGAGGGAGACAGGAGGGGAGAGAAAAATATATAGCTTAATAAAAACAATAAAAAATACTCATGCCCAGAGCAAATTATTTTGTGCTTACAGTTTCAGTGTGTCAGAATTCATGATGGCAGAGTGGAGATAAGGAGGCCTGGGTAGCAGGAGGGGCAGCTGTTGCTCACATCCTGAAGCATGAGCAGGAGACATAGCGAACACACTGGGAGTGCCATGAGTCTTGTGAAATCTCAAAGCTCACACTCCCTAACACACACACACACACACACACACACACACACACACATTTTCTCCAGCAAGGTCACATCTCCTGTCTTAGGCTTCTGTTACTGTGGTAAGACTCTGACTAGGCAACTTTAGGAGGTTTATTAGAGTCTGTGACCGTCATGCTGAAGAGCATTGTAGCAGGCAGACATGCACTGGAGCTGTAGCTGAGAGCTGAAATCTTCAGATACAACCACGTGGCAGACAGTCTTTTGAATCCCCAGTGCTCACCCCCAGTGACACACCTCTAAAAAGGCCACCTAATCCTTCCTAAAACAGTTCCACCACCTGGGGACCAAGTATTCAAATACAGGAACCTATGTGGGCCAGCTTCATTCAAACTACCACATTCACCTCCCTGGCCCTCCAGCTCATATACATATAATACAAAATGCCGTTCCACATCAGAAGTCTCTGTAGTCTTACACAGTCTCAGCACAGTTTAAAAGGCCAAAGTCCAACTCTCTTTTGAGACTCAGGCAGTCTCTTAATTGTAACCGCTTATAAGATGAAAATGCAAGTTGCATACTTCCAACATACAGTGGCACAGCATATGTTACCATTCCAATAGAATGAACTTCAAATGGGGTAAGCCTACACAACCTCAAAGCCTGCTCCCAGTGACGTGCTTTCTCCCGCAAGGCTCCACCTCCTGAAGGTTGCATAAACTCCAAACATCATCACCCACTGGAGACCAAGTGTCCAAACGCTTGAGACTTTGAGGAACAGGTCTCATTCCAACCCCCACACCCATTTTACATGCTGTTAAACATCACCCAGATTAAGAAACTGACTCGAAAAGCCTGTGGGAAAGTCCTAAGCACAAGTGGAGAGCCTACTGTTTGATTAAAGGCACATGGTATCAAACTGCCTTCTCAATATTTGTTTATACCCATAGATTAGCGCTGCTCTCAGCCTTGCAGTGGGCAATGATTAATGCAGCAGGGAATGAATGAGTGACTGTTGGGTATTCAGCCCTAAATGGTCATCCAAACACTGCAGAAAACAGGGAAGAATGTAAGAGCCGGAGGACAGGAAGGACTGACATAAAATGTTGCTGTCTGACAATAGCATGACTGTTGTCCTCATGAAATCAGTAGTTCTGGTTTTTAGCACATGATGGGGCCCCTTAGAATCCTATCATTTAGGGATGAGGTACTGATAAGGCCCCATCCATCCTTGAGGAACTATTGTGATTAATGACTGCTTGGAAAAGGGAGTAATTTTTTTTTTCAGTGGCGTAGCCATTGGTGAATTGTCCATGCTTGAATAAATAACCTCACCCATGCAAAACTAGGTGGATTATACTGTGAAGGTAGGAGAAGACTTTTCGGGGTTCCGCAGGAGTGGGAACGGGACTAGAGAAGGAAATTGTGAGTAAAAAAATGACTCATGTACTTTATATACTTGCTTGATATTATAAAAAAGGACGATTGGGATAAAGGAAGGTTGGATGGGGAGCACGGAAGCACAATTCTTAGTTAAGGGAGCCACCTTAGGGTTGGCAAGAGACTTGAACCTAGAGTGGCTCCCAGGAGCCCAAGGCGATGTCCCCAGTTAGTTCCTTGGGCAGCTGAGGATAGGGAACCTGAAATGACCCTATCCTATAGCAATACTGACGAATATCTTGCATATCACCATAGAACCTTCATCTGGTGATGGATGGAGATAGAGACAGAGACCCACACTGGAGCACCGGACTGAACTCCCAAGGTCCCAATGAGGAGCAGAAGGAGGGAGAACATGAGCAAGGAAGTCAGGACCACGAGGGGTGCACCCACCCACTGAGACAGTGGGGCTGATCTATTGGGGGCTCACCAAGGCCAGCTGGACTGTGACTGAAAAAGCATGGGATAAAACTGGACTCTCTGAACATGGCGAACAATGAGGGCTGATGAGAAGCCAAGGACAATGGCACGGGGTTTTGATCCTACTTAATGTTCTGGCTTTGTGGGAGCCTAGCCAGTTTGGATGTTCACCTTCCTAGATATGGACGGAGGCGGGAGGACCTTGGACTTTCCACAGGGCAGGGAACCCTGACTGCTCTTTGGACTGGAGAGGGAGGGGGAGAGGAGTGGGGGGAGGGGGAGAAGGGTGGGAGGAGGGGGAGGGAAATGGGAGGCTGGAAACTTTTTTTTCCTTTTCTCAATAAAAAATAAAAATAAAAAAATAAAAGGACATCCTGTACCCATTTAAAAAAAAAAAAAAACGCCTGATTTTACATGATTGAACAGAGGTATTTCCTTTTTGTACAGCTTTCCTCTGTATCATACTCTCTTTTCTTATGAAAGAAGAGGGAGAAAAGTTGCCATGTTGCCATTCCAAAGAGAAATGAATGCATGGTCAGGTACACAGATTGACTCACTGTGTCCTAGTTCAGCCACTAGAAAGAAGACTCTTTCACAGGCTGCTGCCGCAGTCTGAGTTCTCTGTGGCTGTGTATTGGTTTTCCTTTTTAGTGAAAGCCTGAAGGTGAGCTGGATACGATAAACCACCTTAAGCATGCATGCACACGCGCACACACACACACACTAAAGATCTCAGTGTCTCCGTGTGCCTCCCCTTCCTAGGGTGCTGGGCTGAAGATGTGAAAGAAACTGGTGTTGTCTGTGGCTCGAGTCACTTGTGTCTTCGCTTGGTGGATGAGAAGGCAGCCAACCAGGGGTTCTCAGCCTTCCCAATGCTGTGACCCTTTAATACAGTTCCTCATGTTTCCGTGTGAAACATGATTAATAAAAACTCAGAGACAGAAATTGGGGCTCAACCTGCAGGTCAGAAAAGCAAAACAGCCAGTCACTGCCTCTTACCTCAACCTCAGTCTGAAATAGTGATTCTGCCTTCAGGAATCTCATAATAAGACTATGTGAGAGCTGTCTGTTTTATAATACTTTCTAGTTCTGGGATTAAAGGTGTGTGTCCTTGCTGCCTGTCTGTAAGGCTGACCAGCGTTTTACTTTTCTGATCCTCAGGCAAACTTTGTTAAAATATAAATGTAAGGCCCCTACATTGGTGACCCCATGACCATAAAGTTATTTCATTGCTCCTTCATAACTGTAATTTTGCTGCTGTTTTGAGCTGTCCTGTAAGTATCTGATATGCAGGATATCTGATATGCGACCCCTGTGAAAAGGTCATTCAATCACCCCGCAGTGGGTCAAGACCCCACAGGTTGGGAATTGCTGGCTTACACAGATGTGTGCTGATGGGATGGAGCCAAGCTCTGCTACTGAAAGTGAGGCTCAAAACCTGGGTTCCCTGTCATTAGCCCCCCAGCCTTGTCGCCATTCATATTATGGAGCATAATTTCATGCATCAAATGTAGAACATTTGTGTTACAAGAGGAGAGCTTGGGAGGGAGAAAAATTAGTGTCGGGAAATAAGGTGCTGCCAGAAGGCTTTCTTGAAACAAAGTGTGGTGGAATTTTGATGAATACTGCTGCCCCAGTCCAACCTGCTAGGCCAATAATCACCAAATACTGACCCATCCGGACCCACTGCAGGCAATGGTCACTGGCCCTCTCAGTAAAGTATATCTGATATCACATATCAGATACCCTGCATATCAGATACTGACAATGCAATTCATAACAGCATCAAAATTACAGTTATGCAGCAGCGATGAAATGACATTATGGTCAGGGGTCACTACAACATGAGGAACCGTATTAGGGGCACAACATTAGGAAGGTTATTTAAAGGGAGACCCCAATATTGAATCAATTTTACACACTGTGCTTGGCCAACGGTTTTATTCTGAATACCTTTATTCTAAGTCACATAAATCTTACTCTGGGTGTACACAAAAAGGAAGTTACAAAGCTGCAAATCCCAGCTCTCCCTTGAGAACACATTCATGACAATGCTAATTGCACTTAAAAATTAAATAGGCAGTGTAAGAGGGATGCTTTATAAAGACACGCTGGGGCACTTTTTCATTTACTCTGCCTCGTGTCTCCAAAGAATTCCGAGTCATCTTTCCATCCAGGGTTTACAGTCCCGGCTAGGACTGCAGTGGTGCAGAGAGCTAAAGGATTTCAATTAACATGAAGCTGAGACAGCGAGAGAAAGCCTTGCGGTGGCTGGCGGGAAGCAGAACACAGCATTGAAAGAAAATATCCGAATCTCCGCGTCACAGGCTGCGGCTTCCGCGCGCTGCCTTCAGATGTCCTTCCCACAGTCGGGGCAGAGGATGTCGTCTCTCTCCGTGAGGAAGCCGCGCCCCACCAGGGACAGGGAGCACTTCTTACAGTTAAAGCAGTCGTTGTGCCACTGGCGTTCCTCGAAGGAGATGTACTTCGTGCCACCGAGACCTGCGCACAAAAGAAAAGCGCAGGGTGAGGCGTCTCCACGTGATCAGTCTCCACAGAGCTGAAAAAAGGCCTTACAGTTTGATCCGCTTCAACCTTGTGCCTACTACACGTGCGACCTTCAGATGAGTGACGGAGAGTCAGGAATTCACATACAATCATCCATTCTACAAAGCCTCAAGGAACTCAGGACGGGCACAGGGGTGTGATACACGCTATGAAGAAGTGCCTGCCTGGGCTAAGTGTGTTGCTCAGTTGTTGCCTACTGAGTGTGGGGTTCTGGCTTCCAACCCTGGCACTGTGAGAAGAAAAGTGCCTGCTGTTTCCTGGATTAGTATCTGTTTTCTCCTGAAATGAAACCTGCTCCCCATGAGAAAAGGGAACAGGATCCCGTGCCTTTGCTGGGTGCTGTAGCAAAGGGAGTAGATGCGGGGAGGCAGGAGAGGAGAGGTGTGATCATCTCAGGAAGGGCTAGGGAAGGACCAGCCTGCAGAGGGGTGACCCTGGGACCAGCTCTAGATCAGGAGTGGGGGTGAGAGAAGGGGCTCGGTGAATCGGGGTACAGTACAATGAAGGAAGATAGGGTCGCAGGCCGGAGCTGACCCTGAAAGAGTCAAGGACTGAGCGAAACCACGGTTTTATCTTTTCGCAGTGCTGGAGGCAGGCCCGGGGCCAGGCATGCCGTGGTAGCATTTGAGCACTGAGCCACAGCCCTGCTCCAGTATTGGTAAACAAGCAAACTAACTAGTTTCACTTCTCTCCTTTCTGGTGACTCATGTTTGACTAGTCTTCATGAGATGTTTAAGGTTCATAGGGTGCTGATTATGCTATCAACGACAGGTGGTCTGTATGGCCACTGGCCACTCTGCAACCAAGAAGAATGGAATACATGGACTTATGACACAGTTGCCATGTGTTCTGGTGAAATGTAGATGACTAATTTTTGATATCAAGAGTCCAGTATGATAAACCATACTGTGACAAAGAAGCCACACCCACACCCGTTCTCAGACTTACCCAACTCTGACTCACCAGGTAGTTCTTATTGACACGGGGAAAGTGTCAAGTTTTTTTCTCTTTGGCAAGTCACGCTAGGGCTAGATCTTAGCAGTGGTCTCTAATGAAGTGTCTGTGTCCTTCCAAAGGCCACTTCTGCTCATGATGGAGGGATGCACAGCAAACCTCATCAGCCTTCTTTCCCTAAGTAGCTTGTGGAGTTTTTGTTTATTTGTTTGTTTAAAAAGGAAAAAAAAAAAGCAAGTTCTTGGAGCTGAGGGTATAACACAATGGCACACTGTTTGCTTAGCATGTGTGATGCCCTGGGTTTGATCCTCAGAACCACAAGAAAAAAAAAAACCAAAATGGAGTATCTAGTTTACATACAAAGTAAATGGAGGAATGCTTCTTGAAGTGCTCTAGTTTGCTTGTTGCTTTGATAACCACCATGATCAAAAAGCAACTGTGGAGGAAAGGGTTGATTTCCTTTTACTGCTTACAGGTGAGCATGAAGAGAAGTTAAGGGCAGGAACATGGAGGCAGGAGCTCAAGCAGAGCCAGGAAGGGGTGCTGCCTTCTGGCTTGCTCTCCAAGACTTGCTCAGCTGCTTTCTTGTAAACCCAGACCCACCTGTCCAGGAGTGACACTCCCCACATTAGGCTGGGCCCTCCTCCATTTGACAGAACTCTCACGCTTTTCTCTCCCCACCTGGCCACTGATTGGTACACATGGCAGATGTTTAGTCTGAAGCCAGCCAGTCTCCACCTTCAATATCTTCAGCATGTCTGATACCTTAGAACAGATAATTGGCTGGCCAGCCAAGCACATTTTGAGCTCTCAGTTTGCTCATGTGATTATAATAGGCTCATAGACCCGAGCAGAAACACTCAATGAGAGGCCATTGGTTCTCCATGACCAGGCAAGGGGAAGTTCTCAGTAATCTGCAGAAGCACAAGCAGTGTGTCAAGGACAGGCGGCGGGGAGGCAGAAAGGTAGACTGGGCGCAGAGCCTCAGGATGCTAACAACACCATGCTAACACTCTAGGCCTCCGCGGTGCTCCAGGAGGCCGCCAGCCTATCCCCTGGCAGCGGTCTTCCCAGGATGCTTACCGCTGATGGGGTTGGTGCACCCAGCACACTTCTTGGCGTACAAGTCGCAGAAGCAGGTCAGGCAGTAGGGGAACTCATCCCGGGCAGTGAAGCGCTGCCCAGACAGCTGCTTCTTGCAGGCAGTGCACACAAAGCACTCCTTGTGCCAGGGTTGCTCCCGGTAAGTGACGCCTCCTGTGGTGATGGGCTGGAGGACACAAGTGCAAGAGTCAGGACCACCCTGGTTTCTGGTAGGCATCTGTCACCATTATTGCCAGCAGACGATGCGAGACAGCCCGGCCCTCTGCAAATGTCCAGTTTGAGCCTCAAACCTCAGACACCTGGTGTTACCCTCCCTACCACTGTCACTCTTGGCTTTCTCCCTAGTGACCATGGGTCTTTAGGTGTCACTAGTGCAGGGGAACAGAAGGTATGGGTGCTATGGGGCATTGTCACCTTCCCAAATAGGAAGGTGGCGCAGTGGTGTGGTCACCATCAGAGACAACACTGAGGATGCTGACTCCTACTTCTGAGCAGCCCTATCGCTGAAGAGAGAGCCATGGATAAAGACCTCAGCACCTCAGTTCTAGCTATGACATTGCACTCATGAAAAGGGAGATGCATCCAGTGACCTCTCCAGCTCTATCCCCATGCCCAGCTTGTCCTGTCTGCTGGTGTGGCCTCAAGGGACGGATCAGCATCCTGGGAGCCTTTATCCTCACCCTGTCTTCCAGACATAGAAGGTTTGTGAAGAAAGCTGCAACGTTGCAAACAGCTCTTCATCCCTCAACTGCATCTAGTCACTTCAAATATTTCTTTTCACAGGAATTTAAACACTGGGTGATGAATGGAGTCAGAGACCAGGGGAGGTCTCAGTTTGACAGGCAGTAGTGAAGGAAGGTGGGATGGAAACACTCCAGGCCACACCTCAGTGTGGCAGCATCCAGCAGTTTCTGGGGTTCTTGCGTGATGGTCGTGCAGCAAGATGCTATTTCTGTGCTACAGAGGACTCAACCGAAACCCAAGCATTGCCCAAGAATGAAGTCATAGCAGGATAATGACAAGGCAGGAAGAATCGGGACTCCTTCTGCCCTGCTCTCTTGTCATTAAGCCACCCATCAGAGACCATTGGCCAGTCACTCCCTCATGCCAGGAACAGAATTTATGGAAAATATTTTGGCCCTCCGTGCTCTGAGGAGATACAGGAGGCGTGGATCTGTGAGGTGATGTTTCCTCTGCCTGGAGGCTCTCCTCCGTGACCTGGATCCCACACCCACTGTCGCCTATGCCTCACACTACTCCACCTCTCCTCACCCCTTCTATTAGCCCCTCACCACCCCACCTCTATTCATACATTCCATCCCTCTCCCTCAGCTCTCCTCACAACCTCCACCCCATTATTTCACACTCCATCAGCAGGTTCGGCTTCACTTCAGCATGGCTTCCTCAGAGATTTTTCCCTAAGCACCCCCAGTCTCCATGCCCCAGCCTAGCTGGTTCCTCTTGTTGCCTACTCTGTGAACAATCTGTCCTGTCCCACAGGACATGTGTCAAGACACCCACTGACTGCAAGGTCGTCTCCACCTAGGTTAAAATCCAGCCCTTGAATGTGTCCTGTCTGGCCTCGGATCCCTGGCGCTCCATGGCTTCTTTCATTGCCTAAGGAGGGATGTGTCTGGCTTGGAAGTCCTGAGTGTATTTGGGGAGCACATACACAAAGGCATGCACCCCACAAGGCTGTGCCACCTGCACTTTAGCAACTAAAACGACCACACAGATGGGCATGTGACAGAGGGAGTTACTCAGAGGAGGTGAGTTACTCAGATGGCAGGGAATGCCATCAGGGTCTTACAATGTGGAGATTATAGGGGTGCCTATGAGTTTGTAGGCCTAACCATGGGGCTGATCTCAAGGTCAATGACTCCCAAACAGAGATCGGTTTTTGTTGTGCATAAGTACAAATGAAGAGACTTTTAGGCCTCATATATAGATTCTATGGCCATCAAACACACGCAAGTTAACAAGGAGTTCAGAATGAGATATCCGCCTCGCTGACAGAGTTCATGATGGGTAAATTCACATGGGAGCCTCCCCCATCACATCAAGATGAGCCTCGTGGAAAAAGACCAAACTGTTTCCAAGTTAGAAGAGGTAGCTGCACAGCAGAAAGATATCCCAGAAGAAACAAGAATTTAAAGTACGGGAGTGTTCAACAAAGAACAGCCATCAATATGGCGGGGGCCGGTAGAGCAGGGAAGTAAAGGGAGGAAGGGGACACAGGAAAGCAGGGAAGTGGGGGAGGGGAGGGCACAGGTGAGCAGGGAAATGGGGAAGGGGAGGGCACAGGTGAGCAGGGAAATGGGGAAGGGGAGGGCACAGGTGAGCAGGGAAATGGGGGAGGGGAGGGCACAGGTGAGCAGGGAATTGAGGGAGGGGAAAGACATAACTTAAACAGGCCGGCAGAAGTCCTAATGGCAATGAGGCCCTGGAAGTGTCGCCACCCATGGAGCTGTATGAGGGAGAGAGTGGCAGCCCCCTGCTGTGGCTCTTGTTGATTTAAGATCAGCAGAACAGAGAGAGGTTAAGACGGGGAGTTTCACTTCCCTCCACCATCAGGCCATAAACATTCAGAAATGTTCTGGAAGGCATGAATTTTTCTCAGAGCTCATCTCTTTGAAACAGAGACCGGATCACAGACCCAATAGATCAATGCACAGACACCCACAAGAACAAACACGCAAGGTAAAAACGGCCATGCCCTCTAAGCAGGGAGATGCAATAATGTTCCTGCATGGCAGCCAGGCCAAGGATGGGAAATGAGAAGTTCGAGCAGACCCGGGGGGAGCTCAGCACCTTTTTGCACTGCACGCACTGCAGGGCGTACTGCTTCTCATAGCAGGGCACACAGAAGTTCTGGTTCTCCTTGGGTATGAAGCTCTTGGTTCCAATGGGCTGCTGGCAGCGCTGGCAGGTGAAGCAGGTCTCATGCCAGCTGCTGCCCTTGTATTCCATCTTGCGGGTACCTGAGGTGGGAGGCAAGAGAAAGCAGCAGATGTTAGGCTGGCTTGGGAGTCCCAGTGATGTGCCTCCAGAGCCTGCTACCGCTGAGTTTCATGATACAGCTAATCCCTCCTGCTCTCAAAGGCTCGCCTCTAGCTGGAGATAGTTCCTAGTTTGCCTTTAGATGCGATGCTTTACATGTGATCCTCGGACAGGACGGGTACTTAGTAGGCATTTGAGAGTTACCTTAGATACGGTGGTTGGAAATGTTAAATGAAAATAGAAACTGAATGCTTTTCTGCTTTACAAAACATAGATAACTACAAGCTTAGAGCATTCTTACGGGGTGGTGTTGGTGAAGGTTGCCACATGGGGATGATAACGGTCTACTCTACACTCATAGTTCAACCTTCCATGGTTTCTGTTATCTGCGGCCAAACTTCAGTCAAATAGAAAACATCTAACGGAAAATTTCAGAAAAAAACAATAGTGTGCTCACTACAGCGAAAGGGCTCTGTGCCTTCTGCCTCTACCTTCATCACAATGTTCATGAGCCACCCTGCCTATGTGGGCTTCCTTGTTCCCTTGTCCTGCACCCATGCTGGTGTAGTTCACCAAGATGCTGTCTCAGCGGCTCTCTAATGACACTTGCCCCTCCTCTGTACCTCTACTTCCCCAGGACCTGTCTGCCCAGCCCTAGGCACAAAAGATCCTAGCATCCTAGCACTGGTCTTCTAGGCATGAAGGGCAGGGCAAACTGGAGGGACCAGTCAGCAGGAGTCAAACAGAAGGTGGTGGGCCACTGTAGAGGTGAGCATAAGCAGTCAAAATGGGAGAACAGAAACAGGAGGAAGTAGAGACTGTGGCTGGGCTGGAGCAGGGTGTCTGGGCTGCAGCTGGGCTGCAGCTGTGTGGCTGGACTGGAGCAGTGTGTCTGGGCTGCAGCAGTGTGGCTGGGCTGGAGCAGGGTGTCTGGGCTGCAGCTGTGTGGCTGGGCTGCAGCTGTGTGGCTGGGCTGTAGCTGTGTGGCTGGGCTGGAGCAGTGTGTCTGGGCTGGAGCAGGGTGGCTGGGCTGCAGCAGTGTGGCTGGGCTGGAGCAGGGTGTCTGGGCTGCAGCTGTGTGGCTGGGCTACAGCTGTGTGGCTGGGCTGCAGCTGTGTAGCTGGGCTACAGCTGTGTGGCTGGGCTGCAGCTGTGTAGCTGGGCTGGAGCAGTGTGGCTGGGCTGGAGCAGGGTGTCTGGGCTGCAGCTGTGTGGCTGGGCTGCAGGCTTGGGAAGTGTCTAGAGGACCCTGCCCACCAGAGGAACTGCACACTGACTTTCTTTGGCTCTTGTCCAGAAGACCATCAGAGATTTAATTTGCTTTTCTTTTTTAAGATAAACTCGTGTGCTGGGCGTTGGATTTGTTTGTCTGTTTTTATGAATTTGATATGAGGTAGAATCACTGGGGAAGAGGAACCTCAATTACTACAGTGCCCCCATCAGATCGGCCTATAGATTGATGTGAGAGGGGTCAGCCTTTGGTGGGCAATGCTTCAATGCCCACTGTCATACCCCTCTTGGGCCCCAAGTTTCTAATTAACGTAGCCTAGAATTTAACATAGCCTAGAATTTAACCATCCTGAATTGTCATGCAGCTAGCTCTGCCTTCTCCACTCCTCCCCAGCTGTGCTTTCAGGCTGGGGGCTTCCATTCCTGTCACAGCGTGTCACCGTCATTTAAAAGTCGTATTAACCGGAAAAAGTGTTATAGCAATAGACTCTACCTTACCAAAGGTCTAATTATCTCTTCTGGAGAAGTAACACTTGTCGTCCCACACATCTTCTCCAAATACTTCCCATATGTCAGTCTGTCACCCAGAATGCTGCAGTATCTCTTCTTTGCCAAAAGCAAAGCAAGCCAAAAACAACAACAAAAACCCAAAAGTGTAGCTGGTTAGTCGCTCTCCTACAGAAGGGTCGGAGCTTGAGTGCAGTGGCTATAGCCCAGCAGCAGTGTTCCCTGGCGTACAGGGAGGCCGCGAGCATCCACTGTACCAAGTGTCACAACGTGACTCTAAATTGTCTCTTAAGCATCATGTACTCCATGGGACCTGGCTGCCAATGACATAGGGTTATTCTGTTGGGTGATTTAAATTTTAAAGTTGAAACTACAAACTCAAAACCCTTGACTCGAATTGGACTCCCCCATATCCCCCAACACAGGAACCACACATATGTGTAGAGGTCAGAGGTCAACCTTAGGTGTTGTCCCTCACGAGCTGTCCACCTTGTTTTTCTCACTGTCCATCTTGTTTGACTAGCCCACGCTGGCTGGCATCTTCCAGATTCTGTATCATGTTTTAGCATATGATGACACATTCTCTGACAGTTCTTGTCGCCAGCACTGAACAGCCAGATTGTCTATGTTCCTGACCCAGCAGTGAAGGCAAACATTTAGGGAGAATGTGTGGTCACTCCATCTCCAGCATGTCCTTCTTTCAGGATTTAACCACTTCTGGGACTTGTGGTAATGGATTATTATCCTTGGTAGAAATGGTTATCATATCTGAGGTGGGGCAGACAGACCACAAATAAAGGGCATCTTTCCAACAAAATGCAAGTCCCCACGAAGAGCTCACCATGGCCCTGCCACACGGGGGAGCACTACACGTCTGTGAGAGTGGGTGACTGTGGCTGGGAATTGGAGCCTGGGTACACACTTGATCCCAATGACCAACCAGTGCTCTTCCTGTGAGCTGCCCAGCGGTAAGAGTGGCCACAGAATGGTCCCAGGACTGTCCTGCTGTCACCCCCACTGTGTGAGGAAGCCTGCTTGCCACATGTAAAGCAAGTAAGAGAGACTAAAAGTGTCGGTCAACGCCCACCTGGTTAGACCAGTGTGGACACTGTTGAAGACCAGTGTGAACACTACAGAGGACCAGTGTGAACACTGCAGAGGACCGGTGTGAACACTGCAGAGGAGCGGTGTGAACACTGCAGAGGACCGGTGTGAACACTGCAGAGGACTGGTGTGAACACTGCAGAGAACTGGTGTGAACACTGCAGAGGAGCAGTGTGAACATTGCAGAGGATCAGTGTGAACATTGCAGAGGACCGGTGTGAACACTGCAGAGGATCAGTGTGAACACTGCAGAGGACTGGTGTGAACACTGCAGAGAACTGGTGTGAACACTGCAGAGGACCAGTGTGAACACTGCAGAGGACTGGTGTGAACACTGCAGAGGATCAGTGTGAACACTGCAGAGGACCAGTGTGAACACTGCAGAGGACCAGTGTGAACACTGCAGAGAACCGGTGTGAACACTGCAGAGGACCAGTGTGAACACTGCAGAGGACCAGTGTGAACACTGCAGAGAACCGGTGTGAACACTGCAGAGGATCAGTGTGAACACTGCAGAGGACTGGTGTGAACACTGCAGAGGACCGGTGTGAACACTGCAGAGGATCAGTGTGAACACTGCAGAGGATCAGTGTGAACATTGCAGAGGACCGGTGTGAACACTGCAGAGGATCAGTGTGAACACTGCAGAGGACCGGTGTGAACACTGCAGAGAACTGGTGTGAACACTGCAGAGGACTGGTGTGAACACTGCAGAGGATCGGTGTGAACACTGCAGAGGACCGGTGTGAACACTGCAGAGGACCAGTGTGAACACTGCAGAGAACCGGTGTGAACACTGCAGAGGATCAGTGTGAACACTGCAGAGGACTGGTGTGAACACTGCAGAGGATCTGTGTGAACACTGTTGAAGACCAGTGTGAACATTGCAGAGGATCAGTGTGAACACTGCAGAGGACCAGTGTGAACACGATTACAGAAGCCCCTCCTTAAACCCCTTCCAACCTCCCCTGCCACTCCGACATGGAGGTTTTGCAGCTCACACACCCCTATGAAAGTGACAGGAATCAGGCACTTTCTGACTGAGCCATCTCCCCAGCTCCAACTTCAATTGCTTTTACATGCATCATTGACGCTGCCGTTGGCACAATGGAGTTAAACATCTCCTTCGACCAGAGACAGGCAGGTGTACATACCTACAGTTCCAGCCACTAGGAAGCCCGAGGTAGGAGGATGGATTAAGCTTTCTCTCAACCCCTCCCTCATCATATGTGCTTATATTTTCCAGAGTGGTCTTAAATGTTTGGTCTCAGTTGCATCTGATTCTTTTGTTTCTGCTTTTACACAGACACTCATCACGTAAGTGGCTGGCCTCAAACTCAGAGATCTGCCTCTCTCTATCGATGGAGGGCGGAGATTAAATGTGTGCCCCATCACACCTGGCACTGAATGTGATTCTTTAAGAAAAATACTTTAAAATGGCTTTATGTTGGTCTCAGTAACCAGCGGGGTGAAATGAATTTCCTTTAAACTTCAGTTTCAAATTTAATATATTTGATAGCTCTACCTAAAAGTTCAAACTTCAAATTCTTAAGTAGTAGGAAAAAAATTAAAATTATGGGTATCATGAATAATGAAATATTTTAAGTGCTAAAATAGCTAACACATTAAGAAATTTCAACTTAAAATCACACTTTCTCAATGTGTACTTCAAAACTCAGAGTCCCAAGGTTAATTCACATTTTTAAAATCTCGCACAGACTTTAGTGGTGACTTAATATTACGGTGGTCTTAGGGATGTGTCACCAGCTGACAATATGATATTGTGATCTACAAACACGTTGCTGGCATTCGTGGCTGTTCTGGGACACACAGAGCCTGTGGGCACCAGAGTGGATACACCTGGTGATTCTAAAGTTTCTCAATGTGTCTGCTTCCCCTTGATTCTAACCCTCCCTATAGTTAAAATATTCCAAAGAAGACGTCTTGACACTTTAAATTATTTAGTTATCTTACATTGAATCTGGCACTATGGCCCAGGCTGGCCTGGAATGTACTGTCCTCCTGCCTCAGCTTTCCGACTGACCAGGTTCAGGACCTTGTTAACAGTCAATTGTAAACAATTTGAGTTCTCTTGTCTATACACAGTTTCTCCACTAGAGGGCGCATGATGGCCTTGCTTGGACCACTGTCTGCACAGGATCTGTCCACCTTCCCCACGCACCCAAAGTTACATTTCCCTGAGTCCCATCTGCTCACAGATGTCTCTGTCCTCAGTCAGCTTGCCATCCCCATTGAATCCAAGTGACCTGCTTACTGGTGCTTCCGCCTACCTAGTCTTCAGGAAGGGCCTATACTTCCTAATGACACTCTAGGGACGGAAGCTCTCTGCCGGCTTTGTGTAGCTATTCAGCAGCCATGTATGGCATATGCTAAAAGCGACCTGGCTCTTAAAGTAATTTTTTAAAAGGTGTATTTATTTATTATGTACACGATGTTCTGCCTGCAGACCAGAAGAGCACACCAGATCCATATTATAGATGGTTGTGAGTCACCATGTGGTTGCTGGGAATTGAACTCAGGACCTATGGAAGAGGCTCTTAACCTCTGAGCCATCTCTCCAGCCCAAGACCTGTATTTTTATTGGCTGAACCAGGCAACTTGAATCTGGACAGCCTTTAATAGGTCATGCAAAGGCTATTCCTCACGGTGGCCCCTGAACCTACACCTATGCCTGTACCACCTTTTTAAAAATGGGGGTGACATCAGAGAACCTAGCCCAGGTTCTCTGAGCTGTTCTAATGCCCATTTTTACGTCATGTATCTGCTAAGATTTGCTTCTTCAATCCTGTATTTGTGTATGTGTGTTTGTGTGTATTTTTGCAGTGATGGTAATCAAACCCACGTGCTGGGCAAGCACTCTGTCACTGAGCTACACTGGCCCTCCGTATATTTTCATTAACTTACCCTGACAGGTCCCTAACTCACAGAGATCTGCCTGCCTCTCCCTCTGGCATGCTGGGATTAAAGGTGTATACCTCAATGCCTGGGCTGTTCTCTCACTTTTTAAAAGTAAAGATTCCTTTTTCCTTCACAAAACCAAAAGGAGAGAGAGAGAGGTACCCTGTCTTTTCCAGGTGAAAAAAGAGACACCTTATCATTACGTCCAGTTCTTAACCCAGTTGAGGTTCTGTCCTTTTTGATGTCTGTCTGTCTATTCAGGACATAACTCCACGAGTCAGACAGATGGTGGGACTCTGAGACTCCAGCTAAGCAACCTGTAGCTCTTGGCCAGTCCTGACACCCCAGGGCACAAGTCATAGTTGCTGAAATCACTGAGTACAAACTCAGCAAGCAGGGCAGAATGAGAAAACACATGTAGTGGGAAAAGTAAGGGAGAAGAAGAACTGTATTTCCAGGGAACGCCCGGCATTCTTCTTACTGGCCAGTTCTCTCTATTGACAACCAGCTGCAGATCAAGAATCCCCCCAAAAAACAACTATCTCCTTAGAGAACTTATATCGACTTCCTCTGTCATTATTTTCCACATAGCACAATATAGCGGTGTTCATATAGCACGTGCAAATGATTTTAAATACACGGGAAGATGCTCTATGTAAGCACTGGGCGTTTTGCATAAGGAGCTTAAGGATCTGTGTGTGTTGGTGTCTGGACACACTAAGGGGTGACTGAACATAAGCTCTACTTAGAGATCCCACACTTCCTAACGATACACCTTACCCCTGCAATTTTTTTCCCAATTTTTGAGACTGGGTTTCTTTGTATAGCTCTAGCTGTCCTGTAACTAGCTCTGTAGACGAGGCTGGCCTCAAACTCAGAGATCTACCGGCCCTGACTCCTGAGTGCTGGGATTAGAGGTGTGTGCTACCAACCCCACATCTTCGGTCACTAAACACATCTTGAAGTTCAGGGGACAGCACTGAAGTACCACTACCAGTGTCTATGGCCAAGCGAGAGTCCCACATCACTGGACTGGCTCAGGCCCTCCTGCGCCGTGTGCGCGCGGGAGAGGCCCGTGCTCTGACCTGGCATGATGGTCTTCTTGCATTCCTGGCACTTGGACGAGTACTCATTGGAGTAGCAGTCGGTGCACAGCAGTTGCTCCTCCTTGGCGGCGAAGGGCTTGTCCACCAGCGAGTTCCCGCATCTGGAGCAATGGAAGCAGCCTTCGTGCCAGTGCCGGTCCTTGTAGGACAAGTCCTGGAGAGTCAGACACGCAGTCAGAGGCAGGACAGAAAAGGTGGAGCTGCTGTCTAACTCATCGTAGCACAGGGGCACAGCAAAGCCCTCAGGACAAACGTGGACACAGGTGGGCTGGAGCCCGGGAGCCTTGGTGTGCTGCATTGCTAGAGTGTGTACACATGTGTGAGTGTGTGTGCGTGTGTGTGCGTGTGTGTGTGTGCGTGTGTGTGTGTGCGTGTGTGTGTGCATGTGTGTGTGTGCATGTGTGTGATTTGAAAACTGACCTTCCTGTACAAAGTATCTTCAGAAGATGGGCCACTGTGGTCACAAGCACATCAGGGAGACCCTGGGTGTTGGGGCATTCAGACACAGGCTCCAGGGCAGGATCTGGGGCCAGCAGGAAGTGGATCAGGAAAGAGAAAGAGGATCGGTGTGGACAGCTGTGGGACAGGAGAAAAGAGACGAGATGGGGTGCCTGTCAGATCTCGTGTCACTGAGGGCAACAGGCCCAGGGTGAGAAAGTTCATGTCCGGATGAGTCAGGCTCTGTTCCTGTGAGCATGGAGTTCAGTTCATCCCGAAGGCTGTAGGGAGTAGCAGTGAGGCTGTAGTGTTGGACTGAGAAGGGAACAGGGAGGGGAAGACAAGGGTCGGCACTAAGGGTGGGTGCACTGGGCTGCCTCTGAAGGGGAGAGAGATGAGGGTTTGCACTGGGTTGCCTTTGTTGCCGATAGCAACAATATGCAAATGGGGAAAGCCTTGAGAAGACAGAAGCAGAAGCCTTAGTAAATGATAGCAGGGGGCCAAAGAGTCCAGGGGAGAAAATCCTGTTGACTCTGTGCTGCCCTTGATCTTGCTTGAAGGATGAGAAAAGCCCTGTCTACATGGGCCCTAGAGTTTTGAAGCAGCAACTTGGAGCGAAGCCACAACCCTTTCATGTCCAGTTTTACGTTAGAAAGTCTCTGTTCCGGCCATTGCCACCCCGATCCCCACCACCATCCACACATCAATCAGGCAGAAACAGAGTATGAAGCTACCAAGTTTCCTGGGCTAAACTTCCACCTGAAAATCTCCTGGGCACCTCTGCTCAAGTAGAGGGCATCAACAGCAAACATCCCAAGCGTTGCACCCGGGTCACACTTAGAGTGACACCCGGGGGAAGGGGAAGGTGTGACTTGATTAGAAAGCCCTAAGCATCCCCAACCCAAACTCAGAACAGAAACAAAAGTACAGCAGTTCTCTCTTGCTGACACCTCTCTCTCTCTCTCTCTCTCTCTCTCTCTCTCTCTCTCTCTCTCTCTCAGATCCCAAGTGTCAGTGGGTTGGTCCTTTGCGGAAGGGGACCAGGGACACAGCTTACCAATACGCTGGTCTCTCACAAGCCTGTGAATGAAGAGAGTAGGGTATAGGAGAGCAGAAGCCCAGCCTCTCCTTTCCAGGTTTAATACTTAAATATTTTTAGAATTTTTTTTGGTAGGGGGAGAACACATGTCCTTAGTTTTAAAGTGAAATAAAGTATAAACTGCTTTAATTTGATCCCACGGGTCTGTGTGTTAACTCATTACAAACTGCTAAGTTAACACAATGTACATGTTATCATTTAAATATATATATATATATATCATCACATGCTATATTATATCATTTGGGATTGGATATAACTTGTTTCCTCTCTATGCATATATACCCTATCTTCAAAATAAAACACATCAGGGGTCCAAATCGCAGAGAAAATAAAACAAACATGAAAAATAAACCACAGAAATTTGCACTATTGATGATAATTGGGACTGTGTGGTAAGCTCACAATCCTACAGAGGCCTAGAAGGTAATTAGTGCTGAAGCTCAGAGACATTCCTTGGCTTGCTCATGGTCACACAGCTGGTATGTATCCAAATCAGGCTCTGGGCTCAAATCCTGATTCAAAGCTGTGGCATGGGTCAGTGGAAGGTCGCTTTTGCAGACGTTAGCTGGCCTTCCTCTGGGATAAGTCACCCTACCAAGGAGGGCTCTCGGTGGCCGCCACTGGACGGAAGTGAGGGAGCAAAGTCAGAGCCGCCTTTGTAAGCTGAGCTGTGGTTACCTGGTGGGTGACTCTGCTCAGGGAACGGGCACCACACACACCTGCTGAAACTTTTTATCGGCGAGAAGAAAAGCAAGAGTTTTGTTCGTTGCTTTTCACAGGGGCAAAACACCATGCCCAAGGTAACTTAGAAAAGAAAGTATTTCATTGGGCTTCAAGTTTTGATGGATTAGAATCCAGGATAATGGAGCAAAATCCTGGTGGCAAGGAGAGCCGAGGTCTCACGTCTCAAAACCGCAAGTAGGAGGCATGTGCGCAGTGCATTGAGATGACAAACAAAGGCCTTTGAAACCTTAAACTGGCCCTCGGTGATGTGGCTCTTCTACCAAGGCCACACCTCCTAATCCTTCCCAAGCAGCCACCCGCTGGGAACCAAGTGTTCTGATGCCTGAGACTTAGAGGGGGCGTCTTGTTCAAACCACCTCAAGGAGCCAGGAAAGTTGTATTTCGGGGCAACCTTCAGAAATGACAGAAACAGAGGGAGGAAACCTTAAGAACTACAGAACAAAAGTGAAGCTGCCACATGTCCCCAGTCCCTACCCTGGTTAATGAGTCCCTAGAAGGACAGAGTCCTTTGCGTTGATGTAATGAGACATTTGCAGAAAAGCTGACTGAACGCTCTAAGTTTCCGTAGAAACTCTTTGTTCTTTCCACAGGGAACACTTCTGCCATGAAGACGCCACAGGTAAAGACTGCCTTGCTGATAGTCACAAGACACTTACAAGAATAAATATGTGCATTGTCACGTCCCTTAGACGGAAGCATCAGCATAGGGCTTCAGACCTGCCCAAGGCCAAAGCTCCTACTGACTTGACTACTCCTGATGGGACACTCTGACTTCTCATCCACAGACCGGAAGGAAAGGGCCTGTTCTTGGCTGTGACAGTTCACCCTTTGCCCCCACCTATGCTGCCCTGCCTTTCAGACTGCTAAAGAGTAGAGCCGAAAAGCAAAACAAAACAAAACAAACAAAAAACCATCCCATCCCACTCAGGGAGCCCAGCCAGGCATGCAGAGATCACAGGATGCCTAGCAAGAGTCAGGCAGAGCACTCACTCCCAGCTGCCTTCCCACGACCAGGGGACATCATTTCCCGAGGCTTTCCTAACTCACTTGCCTGTCTGGCACACACACTTGAGTGCATATGCACGAACACACACACTCGCCATGAATACTATAGTGCATAGTAATCATTCTTAACCCTTTCTAACAGACATGTTTTCTCTGAAGGTAAATATCAACCTCTGATTATATTCCTAAATTCAGCGGTGGACCAGAACGTCACTAAACAGGTTTGCGTCACCATTGTTGGCAGGTCCTGGATGGGTGGGTAGGAGGCTCAGAACGGGCCCTTCCCCTATTCCAGGTGGAGATGTTGATGACCTTCCAGCCTTTCAACCTCAGACTTCTCATCAGAAAACTGGAAGGGCGGCTCCTGCTATTGGTTGTGACAGGCGGTTGCCTTAATACATCTAAAGCGGCACCGGTTTCTGCCACATCGGGACTGCTCAGTGAATGCTAGCTCAGAACCAGTCATGGAAGCGGTGGCCTGAACGTCACTCACTGGTACTACACTTCCACAGGAAGGTGGCAATGCAAATCAGACATTCTTTCTCTCTTGTGCCTTCTTGGTTTGTTTCTTTGTTTTTGAGCTTACTGTGGAGACCAAGACACAAACTAGGTATTCTCGTTTCTTAGCTTCTCAAGTGTGAGGGTTCCGGGCATGAGACACCACACCCCGTTAAAAAATTTTAACATCTTAAGAGCTCCCACAGGAAGAATTCCAGCACTCTAATTCCGTATAGTGCTTTTAAAATTTCCTCGGCCCTTATAGTCTAAAAATATGTTTCTAAATTCATCTTGCCTATTCCAAGCCATACAATAACCATATGAGGCAAAGCTTTATGCTTATGCATGAGCAGATTCGAGACAAGGATGCAAAAAACTAGATGCTTCCCCCCAGCATCCCAGATTTCTACCTTCACTGATTCAACAAGCCAAACTCTGCTCCCGTTTTTGTTTGTTTGTTTGTTTGATTGATTGATTTTTAGGTGGCACATCGGCGTTAGCCCTTTCCAAATTGATCCCAGCCTGCTCACCCAGCCTTGGCTTGCTCCAGCCCCACCCGTTTAAGCCTCCATCTATGTCTCTCCTCTCTGGAAAACGCTGCTCAGATGCAGGCTCAGCCCACATCTCACCTGCCCCGAGAAAGCTGTGGCCAACACAGAACCTCATGCATGTCGTTCAGACTCACACGTATGCAAAGCCATACGGTACATCACTTATTAGGCCACTGGGCTCTTCCTGGGCTTCTCAGGCTGTGCTCTGAGATCCCTTGATAAGGCTGTCACATCTTCCTCCTGATCTCTCTGCTTACTGCACTAACCAGGAAGTGGTCAAAGAGTTTACAGTGAGAAGATGGTAACTGAGACTGTGCATTGCACTCGCTTCAGAGCAGAGCGGTTTCCGGGCCCACCTGATTTCAGTGTCTTGAGTCTTAGTGGGAGACAAGGTGTTAGTCCCAGGATTCTCTGGGGCTCAGAGGCAGTTCAAAAATGTCACTCCGAAAACTGAGATGATAGGTCAGAGCTGGCCAACGCTTGACACTACACACCACATATTCACCACGAAGACTGGGTGCCAAGTGATCTTTCCATTCTTTAGGTTCACGGCTCCAAACAGAACCTTGGTTTTCATGATTAGTATTATGGCAGTGTTGGCTAGTTCAGTTTTTCCTATATTGTTCTGCACAAATGACTCAGATATCTACAGATTCTCAATCCTGAGGTTCAATTAACCACAGATGGAAAAGATTCAAAACTAAAACATCATCTGGATTGAACACACACACTTTAGGGGTGGGGGTGTGCTATAGTCCCTAAATAATACAACAATTCTTTAATAGTATCTATACTGCAGTGGATATCACAAACAGC